TTTTTTTTTACATGCAGACACTTAATTTAAATTGTTTAAATTACTTAGAGTTTATTAAAAATAGAAATAATTATAGAAATTTATGCAAATTTTTTTACAATTAATGAAACATAAATATTTTCATAGATAACTCTAAAACATCAAGAAAAATCATATAATGAAAACATTGAACGTTTAAAATACTTAGTAGATAAAATTAAAAATAATAATTAACACCAATGACTAAAAAAAATTTAAAAACTATTTATTTTTACAGAATATATACTCAAGACAAAAATTTGTAATTTGGAAGATGGTTCTGTTAGTATTTGTTTTTATTTTTTAGAACATATTTAATCAAACATTGGTGACTATTGAGTAGAAAAAAACTGTTGACCTTGATAAAAACCAATTTTTTATATGATAATTCTTTACTAAAAAATTACTTAWTAAATCTAAAGCTATTAATAAAAAAGTCACAACTACTCCCACAACTACAGGTAAAATAAAAATGCGTTTGTGTAGAGATATTAACTTAAGTTGTTTAAAATTTGAATAAAAAATGTAGATTCAATGGGTGCAAAATTTGTTAATTTTGTTAAAGAATTATATAACTGCTTAACCTAACTTTACTGTTCTTATTAAAWCTAATGAATCCGTTAGACTTAAAATACCAATAAAACAAAATTCAAAACATTGATCATTTTAAGATGAAACTCAAATATTTCTTTCAACGCATAAAGTTAAAAGTAAACGAAAAAAATTCACTCATTGCATAAGTATATGATTTGTAGGGAAATATTGATTATTGTTATTAACTCTTATACAATTAACTAAACAAATAAAATTAAGTTGATTATTTATTAACAAGATGTCTACCCCAGAATTGTATTGAATATTTTTGTTTTCCATTTTAAGATCAAAAGGAAGAAATAACGTAACTCAAGCTGAATCAACATTTTTTTCAAACTTAGAAGAATTTATTTCATAACTAGGTATACAATTAGCATAATCAACCAACATTTTAAGTATGATTTTAAATTCATATTCTGCTATGATTAAGTACTACAAACATTTTGTACCAATTTTGTACAAATTAACTAAACAGTTAAGAAAAGGCACAATATYCAACATAACAAAAACAACATAATCAATATTAATAAAAGGATTAATTTTCTTARTGAAAAGCATAGCAGAATAGTTACCAAAATTAGAAGACGTAGAATTTAATAGTTAAGAGTACACCACATGTGTTGTCTTTGTCTTACAAAATTACAAAATTTTGAACTCTGTATTGCACGGGAAATCACTCCTTCCATAATTATAATAGAATTACTAAGATTCTACAAAGCATAGGGAAGAACTTTATCTGTGTAGTACAGAATTTTTTAAATTTAAATATAAAAAGTGATTGATTAGTTATCAAAAAAATGATAGAATTTCGGTAAGTCTACAATAAATACAGAGGGGATTATGTTGTCCTGCGCAAAATATTTTTTGATATATAGTATATGGTATACGTACTTGTAAGACGGTGACAACACATTCGGGTGAGGCATACTTTTGAGAAAATTCTTTGTCGATAATATTAACAGAATCAGAAATTGTAAAATACAACAAAAATAATTTCCAATTAGTTAATAATAATAATATTCAATGAACAGTAAATATTACACAATTCAATAATACCTATTAACTTATAATATTTTTAGCAACCAAATTAAATACTATATTATAATGGAAACTTAAATAAGGTTGGACTTCCAAAATGTAAAAATT